CAGGGCAATGAAGAGAGAAGTCTTATGAATGACGGTAAAATTAGAATCGACTTCCAGGCACGCTGTCGCTGGTTTTCCGCTGCCTTCTCGCTGCATCCTAATTTTATTTCTACGATTTCGTCTGACGAAATCCGACCGGATCGATAAGAGAAACGATTACTAATCAACGACTTCTCTTCCTGTCATCGCAAAATTGTTTCTATTTTAACAGGCTAATCATACTTTCTCTCTCACTTTATTGCGGAATACTCTGCTGCTTATCTTAAATCCGTGGCGAATTATTAACATGCGTCGATTTATATTGAAGGTCAAGTTTATTTTTATCTGGCAATTTCTTTATTTGTGAATTGGCCGCTTCCTTTCTCAGAAAGCGAATTTTTCCATAATCACAATTTTTTAGGAGCAATCGGTAATTGCACGTTTTAGCGCTTTTTCTCTATAATATATGTAAAGATAAAAAAGAGATGATACGTGCATATAATACAAAAGAAAATACCATCGTGATTGGCAAACAAGATGGTGCACCGAAGAGCAATTCACACCAACGAAATGGCGCTTCGGCATTTCCATGCCTATTACATCCAATAAAATGAATTTGTTCAATGTGCCGTGCTATGATCGCGAACTCGCAACGTTACGAATCACGCGGTGTAAATTAATGACGGATTATTGTTAGCATCAGGATGTCGGCGCTGTAGTTAGCAAGCAATTAACGTTATGGCTTTGACTCTCATAAATACATATTCGTTCATGACGCGTTTATAATATTTATATTTATCTGGGACGCTGTTTCTGTTTTTAAATTACTTACAAACAAGATTCTCTATAAACTACATTTTTCTTTCTTTAACAAGAAAAAATGAGTACTGTCAATCATAGTATTTTCGATACCAGAAAACGTCACGTGATTGATCGCGTAATTGTTTATCGAAATTTCTATTTCTTCTATTTGTACAAAGATCCCTTTTGATCTGGAAATAATCAGATAATTCTCAATCAGTCGATCACATAATTTGTATATTTTCTTCTAAACACCGAGTGTATTTTCCTCCGTGCAAGCAAGAAAATTGTTGTAATTCTATAAAAATTGCAATATTTTATTTTTAAATTAGGTGAAATTCTACTGAAAATCTTTATATATTATCTTCCTTTCATATTTTGTATACTTTTCATTTTATGCATTTGACTTTTCAACTTCCCTTTTTTCAATTTATGACTTTTAACAGCAGAAGGGATGAAAGAAAAGGATCATAGACGTATTTCCGGGAACGTGTATTTCACTCCTCAGGGGATCGATATTCGGAACTTATGTTAGGCGCAGTGTAACCCATTTTTATTGTAGGCGTTCTGCCTACGGTAACGTTTTCGTCTCTTCACGCGGTTACGTAATGCTCGCTCCAAAGTCGAACCTCAAACGAAGAATTAGCTACGACCTTATTTTTACATTTTTTTTCTTTGTCCTCGTGTGTTACGTTACGATGCCGACAATAAGCTTCAACTGCTGAGTATAATAATAATTTCTATTGACGTGCAAGATAGTAATCTATACATTTATAAATATGAGCGCAGTATAGTTTAGAGCGGCAGCTTAAGAGGCGAGGCATATCAGTAATAAAATACTGTTTTTAAGCCTATATTTTAATATCACTTAAATAATAATAAAAAAAGATAATAGACGAATTACACATAGTAGAAATTTCGCGTGTACAATTCATCTCACTGCTTGAATTCTGTACAGTTTATGAAATGGGCGAATTCACTGCTGGGAGAAAGGCTGTTCGCGAGGGTCATGAAAGCGACGTTTTACGGTCACTTCGTCGCCGGCGAAGACGAAGTGCAGATCACTCCTGTCTTAGATAGGCTGCGGCAATTTGGCGTTAAACCGATCCTTGATTATTCCGTCGAGGAAGACATTTCGCAGGAGGAGGCCGAGCGACGCGAAGTTCAGTAAGTACTCTTTAAATGAGTTTTTACATATTTTCGCACTCGTGAAAATTACGTTGCCGCTATCGTACGTTGATCCCTTTTATTTTTCATCCTTGTAACACAGCAGTGTACGCTGTTCCGTCGCTCGAATCCCTTCGCCAAGTATGAAATTTAAGTCCGCGTATCGCTTTACCGCGCACGACTAATATCGGATATAGTTCTCTATTCGTTTATCTTTGCTTCTGTGCATAAAGAAGAGATTGGATTTTAATTTCCATTAGTATGTACATATACGCTAATGAAGAATCCGTAGAGATTCCCCGATTGGAAAAAATTCAAGAGAGGAACGAAACGTCTAAATAGAAAAAAAAAATCGAACGCATACACAGACACAGGTAATAAGTGGCCCAATACGTAATAGGTGCTGAATATTTGGTATTCTTCCATTTCAGAGCTTCGGTGTCGGAAGCGGGCGACGAGAAGAGGGAGGGGCCGCTTAAAAAGTATCACGTGGAGAAATCGTTCGCCGATCGGCGATACAAGGTGTCGTCGGCCAGGACGTATTTCTACCTGAACGAAGCGTCATGCGAGCGAAACATGGACATATTTATCAGGTGTCTGGAGGCTGTGGCGAGTGAGTCACGAACTTTATTTTTGGTTCTCTATAGCATTTTAGTATCCTTCCTAATCCCCGAGATCGGCGTCTTTGATAGCGCGACATTGAGCTATACAGGATGCCTATCATAATCCGGTTTAGAACTGATTTTTCATTTGAGTCTCTTGAATTTGAAGTTACAACATCAAAAATATTTTTTGCTAATTTAACTTTAAGCGTGCAAATTAGAAATCCGTATTCATTTATTCTATCGTCTCATTCTATTCCGCAATTTATCAAATTTACGTGAATAGGCAACCACAGGTAACGACAATTAAATTCATGAAGCAGATTGATCTTTTGCGTAATGTTCAAACTTTTTTTTCAAGTGTCTCTTGACCTTCTTTTCGAATATTTAAACGATGCAGATGGCTGAACGTATTGCGTATCTTCGTCATCCGTGGAAATTAATTCGAGATTTACTATCACGTCAAGATTACTGCATTGCTATTATCGTACAACTTGATCTTCGCATGATTATTATTTTACGAACGCGATTATCGATTACCTGATTACACGAAGATTATTTACCGTAAGAATACTTATTCGAGTGTTACTCGTGACTGGACGATAAAATATGAGCGATGATGTATAAAATTAATTAACTGAATGAACGAGTCATGCAATTAAATTAAGACGCGAAGCGTAAGTTGCATTTAATCGAGGTAAAACAAAAATCTATTTATCGTGGCGGAAGAACTGCTTCCCCGGGGGGGTAATAGCGTAATTACGGGGGCGCGACTCCGACGTCACGGAGTCGCGTGCAAGATCGATCGCCGCTTTCAGCGAATTTTCGGTTCCCGTTGACGCGAGAGCACACGCCTCTTTTCCTGACAACGGTATTACGTATCAGCAATATCTGTGCGAACCGCTTAAATTATTGCTAATACGAGAAAGAGAGAGAGAAACAGCATGTGCTCTCGCCCTGACGCCGTCGCCGATGACGACGGTGGAAGCTTTCGAAATTCCGCGAGTCACAGACGTAGGCCAATTCTCCTCTCGGCTATAAATATCAATACGTGAGCGAATCATCGTTTGCGCTTTTCGCCCGAATTATGTGACGTAACGTGTCGGAGACATTTGACGGACAAAAAGCTGTGGTCACGAGTTGACTAATGTCTAAGAAATAGAGAGGGAAAGTTTAAGAAGTCGATATAGCGTCGAACATAAAGAGTATGCTGCATAAAGAGTACTGCTTCGTGAAATTTTACAGAGGATGAAGTTAGGACTCTGCAGCTGAAATATCCCTCCAAGAATATTACCTTTCATGCCCAAGCCGATCCCTATCCTGGTAAGAAGACAATGCTTTCCTTCTTTCCCAATTGGATTCTTCTCCACATACACTTTTCTTTTATCATCCTGAAATATCAAGCGCTTTCTCGCGCGCTTTACTTTTTTCCACGAAAGAATTAACAGTCAATTTGATTGGTATTGTAGTATAATACGACGTAACACAAAGTATATCTTTGCAGGTGCTTCGATGGGAATGGGCATCACAGCCGTCAAATTAACGGCGCTCGGCCGGCCGCAGCTTCTGGTTAGTAATAACTTCTACTTCATTATTACTACCGACTTTAATTGCCTATTTGTAAACCTATAACTGCATATAAAATAATTTATGTTACAGCTGCAATTGTCAGAGGTAATTATGCGCGCACGGCAGTACACGTCGGACGTTATCGGCGGCGAGGGTGCCGTTCTGGCGCATCACGCGAAGCCCGATGATTTTAGGAAAAAATTCGAGGAGGCACGCATCAAGGACGAGGCGTCGGTGCAAAAGTTCCTTCAAAAAATTCAAGCGGATAAGGACGGGTACGAGCGATCAAAATGAGAAATTTCAATACGACGTTTTAATACAGAATAGCAAACACAATGTATATTTTTGTCTACGCAGTGTGATTCATCTTTTCCCGTGGAGCGGTATTCTAGACGAAAATTATGAACTGAGCGAAACGTTCCAAGTACCTGATATTAAGACGGGCAAAATGGTTAGGCTAATGTCGCAGCTCACGTCCAAGGAAGAAGAGATGTTTAGGAACATGATCAGGCGTTTAAACAATATCGTCACGGTGTGCACTTGACTAAGCAATGAGACTCAATTTTGAGGTTTTTGACTAGTTATAAATAAATAAATTATTCTTTTTTTGTTTACAGGTAGCTGACAATCTGGATGTGCGTATCATGATAGATGCGGAGCAGACGTACTTCCAACCGGCCATTTCTCGCCTGACCCTGGAGATGATGCGCAAGTACAATACGAAAAAGGTAATGTCCTAACGTTCTCAGAGAATCGCGACGTTATCACTTAGCTACTTTTCAGTGAATGATATTCTCACTGCCAAATGTCGGTCTACTTCTTAGGCTGTGGTATTCAACACTTACCAGACGTATCTGCAAGACGCATTTAACGAGGTGAAAACGGACCTCGAACAGGCAGAGCGCCAAAACTTTTATTTCGGTGCTAAACTCGTCCGCGGCGCGTACATTGAGCAGGTTTGTGAACATTTCTCGCGTTCTTCGAATAAACTTTTACTAAATGACGCGAAATACTATAGAGTTCTTATTCAGGAGAGGGCAAGAGCAGCAGCTATGGGTTATCCAGATCCCACGAACCCAACGTATGAAGCGACAACCGAGTCCTACCATAAGACGCTCATGGAGTGCCTGAGGCGGATGAAACAGTACAAGGACAAGGGCGAAGATCCCAAGAAAATAGGAATTATGGTCGCCTCGCACAATGAAGACACAGTGCGTTTCGCGATCGAGAAGTTAGTATCGCTGCGTATCAATTTTGTCTTTATTCTTGCTGCGAGAGAATATATGTATATTTTTTTACGTCTTCTTTTTTAGAATGAAAGAAATCGGAATTTCGCCGGAGGATAAAGTCATATGTTTCGGCCAGTTGTTAGGAATGTGCGACTACATAACATTTCCATTAGGTATGCAATAATTTTTTAAGCTCAAGTATTCTCCTCACGTTAATATGGGGGCCATCTACATAAGTCGCAAACGCGGACGTTTCTTTTTTTTTCTTTTTTTTTTACATTTCTTTTTTCTCCGCGTTTGCGTTTGCGACTTATGTAGATGGGCCTTTACACATGGATCAATTTTGAACGAAAAATTCTAGGACAATCCGGTTACTCCGCGTACAAGTACATCCCATACGGACCGGTTAAGGAGGTATTGCCGTATTTGTCGCGGCGCGCGCAAGAGAATCGGGGCATACTAACGAAGATCAAGAAAGAGAAACGCCTGCTGCTGAATGAAATCGCGAGACGTATAGTGCGCGGCAAGCTCTTTTACAAACCTAAGGGCAATTATACTCCGGTTTGAGCAGTCAATCCGTTTAGTTGCACACAGACAGAATTTTAAGTATCAAATTTAAGTAGTGGTTGTAAATTATTGAGAACTCTCCTGAAAGAACTTGAGGCGGGCACTTCAGATTGAAATAACTGATTGAAGTAACTTGACGGACCTGTTACTGTACTCGGAAGAGAGAGAGAACGAAAAAGAAAAGAAAGGAAAGTTAGTGAAAGAGAGCGTCACGTTCGCGTTCGTGAGCGTGAATGTGTACGTGACTTAAGGATGTACGCAGTGTTATCTATTACGTAAAAATCGCCTTAGTGTTGTATTATCGAATGTACCGATGCTCAAAGCTGTTGAGTAAAGCTGTAGTTATGTATTCGTTGCTCGTTTCGTTCGTCGTTATTAAAGAGGATGCCAGTGATAGTGCTACAATTTAGTTTCACTCACGAGAAAAGTGTTTTCACAAAGATCGAGCAAAGAGAGTCCAAAACCAATAATTCAATTCTTTCCACAGCTGGTGTATAAAAATAACAATGATTTTTTTAAACGATAGTCCGCGTATTATCTGTACACAGTATATTAAGAGATCAACCGAATTGATCAGCAGCTTTTTCGGCTATGAAACGCAACGATGATGACGATTGGGACAAATTTTATGTTGGGTTTTCTTTTTAGCATATTTGTGTTCTTTTCAAGTTTTACAATTTCTTTGAGAATCTCGTCAAATATTTTCCATGTGTATATAATACACGCGCGCATCAATTATTTATGATTTGTGTTCACCTAAATGTCTTATCGTCCGTAGTATCGGTAAAAAGGGGGAGAGGGGGGGGGCGGGATTAAGAAGAAACAAACGCTTAAATCCGGAAGTACAATCGTATGATTTGCTATCATCTCGACGATTATCGCTCATGGTGAACGTAGAATATGGACTGCTTAGAACATTCGCGATACGTTATAGTTACCAGGAAGCAGCGGATAGCAAATTGTATCACGTGCACTTCCATTAAGCGTATAACGTCGTCGATGAGCATTTTAATACACGATCTGCGGAACAATAGAGAAATGATCATGTCTGGATAAAGGAAAAGAAATAAATAACATGCGTATTAAAGAAAAGATAGTTTTCTTAGAAGTGCGACGAGATAACAGGGTGAAAGTATAATAGGATTCAGGAGTATCTTAGCGAGAGACGTGCGGATTTTCGAATGCTCTTGAGTAGAAACAGAAGAGAGAGAGAGAGAGAGAGAGAGAGAGAGAGAGAGAGAGAGAGAGAGACAGAGTTCTTCGTAGTGCACGTGTGTCGAGTCGCGATACAAAAGTGATTTTGGGCTGGTAACGATACGGCGATAACGAAAGCCGGAGAGATCTGCGAAAAACGCGATATTTCTTTTGTGATACATTAATAGCCGTTAGTTAAGCCACACGTATGTGTACATGAGATATTAATCCCACTTCGCTTCAGCCTAAAATTGCTTCTCGCGTTGCAAAGATAATCCGTAAGAAAAGCGTACGGCGCTGTTGGAGAACACTGCGAATACTGTCGATAAAAAAAAAAGAAAGATATGCACTCCGTCATCCTCACTGTTTCTTTCCAAGAAAGAAAACGAAGGAGGGTCGATTTATGATTTAGAAACAATAAATTCATGCCGTGATTTGAATAAGAGTTTTAAGTATTAACGAATCCTTTTTTCATCCGTCATGCGATAAAATTATGAGATAGAATTATACTTCGAAGAAAGTTATTGGAGATTAGGCGATGATCTGATTAATGGAAGGGAGAATTGCGTCCAATCTGATGTGTTTCGTATATAATTTAGCGTTACTCGTCGATGTCAATACAGGGCTGTAATTCGCGACTTCGAAAAATCACGATCATACAATCAACGATCAGCAAGTTACGATATCATTTAGCCTGTAAGATTGTACAAGCGTTTCCGGGGAAGTTGTGCAGTGCATTCTGATATTCTCAGGCCAGTATTTCCTTTATACTCGCAATCGACGACTCAATAATGTATTCCTCCAGTCGGTACTATTACCGTCCTTTTTGTTTTAAACTCACAGATTGTCATCAGATTATACTCATTTCGTTTCTCTCTCGACGATCTGTACGTGAGTGCAGTCATTTGTGATCTCTTATCTTTTTGCTGTATACATTATGCGAGAGCGTTTACGTTTATAGTATGTGTGTATGTAGCCTACATTTATACACGACTGTAATAATCCTAACGAAATGCGTAAGGTATTTACTCGCTTCGTAGGGACGCACTGCGTGCGCGACATTGATCGATTCGCGGGAGAAAAGGAAAGGAAGGAAGAGTTGTAGAGCGAGTCTAAAAAAAAATTTCTGTGAATCATATGTTAATGCTTGAAGAAAAAGAAGGAAGGAAAACGAGAAACATGATCGATGAAGAAATAAATAAAGGGGCATTGTTACAAGTTACACGGGCTAATAGCTAAAATGTTTCCAAGTTCTATATGGTATACTGGATGTCCATGAGTGTGTGCGTGCGTGTGTATGCGTGTAAATTTTTAAACGTTATACGTTGATAAATTTGGTTGAGATTCAAGGCTTTCTTCAAAGCCAGCTAATTCGTGCCCTGTCACGCTCTCATGAGTACGCGAGCTTCTACTCGTGGTCCCGTTAAGAAATAAGATGCTGACAATAACTTAGATAGATAATGTTGACGTATGTATATACATATACATATATATGTATATATATACAGACGTATAATAGGTGTATGAATCCTGTCACTTGCATTTATGTCATTCATTGAAAGTTGGAAGAGAGCAGAGCGCGAGACCAATGATGCGTCCTGGGGATGTGGAGGCGTTTATTCAGAAAGAAATTGATGAAGAACCGTCGCAAAATTTCCAACTACTCTAATTCGAGTACTCGGCGTTTTACTGCCAAAGCATTCGAGTTGCGATGAGATTGATCCATTGCTATCCTTTTTTTTTTTTTTTTAAGGAATTTCGAATTTCTCAGTAGTTTTGAAAGTTGCAGATGATTTCGTCGATCTTTTTCCTCTCTTCGTCTTACTTTTTGTCGATTGTTTTCTCTCTCTCTCTCTCTCTCTCTCTCTCTAATTACGTGCAATCTTTTCTTTTTATTCAGTCGACGCTTAAATAAACTAGTTAACAGTCCTAATGAGCTCTTAGAAATTCATGTATTAAGTCAACGTTCGTTAACGAGGAAGATCGGCGAAATCTGAGTCATGAGTGATCAGCGCTTTTAATGTATTTAGTTTTTACGAAGTACAAAAACGAATGGAGAATCAACGATCTCTATGATGAAAGTAATTCCAAGTATTAAATATATATAGAAGAGAGAGAAGGGAAAAGATATTAAAGAGAAATGCGTGCGATTTGGTACGGACAATCGAGCGTGTTTGCTTTTCCTTGGGGACGTTCGTTATAGGCGTTCGTAGAACAGGTGATCTCGGGAATGGCGATTTTGCGCGTCGCACATGAAAGTGAATTAAAGCGTCGATCGATATAAAATAAGATAATATTTATTATTTCATGAAATACAGATAATATATGCCTTTCCCCAATGCCACTGACGATATACTATTCCTTGCTCCGCGCCTCGCTAGGACACTAAACGTTCTTTTCGCTTCCTCGTTTTTTCCCCCTGCCTTCTTCCTTTTCTTTTCTTACCCCGCGGGCAATCGGCCGTGAGCCTCGGCGAACCGGAAGTGAGCAAGTTTATTGCTGAGTAAAAAGTACGGATTTATATCTGCGAGCGTTTTTGCGTCCTAGCGGTTCTTTTTCTCTTCTTTCACACCTCCACGGAACCTCGCGAACTTTCTTCCTTCTCTTTTTATCCCCATCGTCGTCCTGCGATCCTTACTCTCGGTCAAGCGTAATACGATTAACTCGAACATCGGAAAACATGTATGAGGCGCATAAAAAACTTTACCGTAAAATGGGATAGGTTTGTACCGACGGAAGCAAGGATCCCGGAATTTTTCCTGAAATTAAGTGTAATATACATAATACTCGTTAATGATCAAATAACGTCTCGTTTCTGATTCGCACAAAATTATTGTTAAATTGAGCATAATTACGTATTTCCGGCTCGAAACTATTGTTTGCGTAAATCTGATCAGGTGACAAAAGTGCGACGTGAATCATGAGACGAAAGAAAGGGGGAATAAAACTCGCGGATTATTTCTTTCGTGTTAAAGGATCTCGAAATTGTTCTTTTTTGCAGGGTGACGTAAAAAGTTACCCCCGTCAATGCGCTCGCATTACGCCGCGATACTCCGCGGTACGGGTCGTCGTACATACAAACAATACGCTACGTCCCCGTCGTCGGGGACGCAGATGAAAACCAGGCTCCGTTTCCGCCGGATGATGTATGTCAGTGATATGTTACCCCCGTTAATCATTTCTAATTTAACATTCGACTCGCCTACACTTGTAACATTAAACGAGATAACACTTATTAATCTCCCTTAAACTTTACGCGATTACAGATTTTCGCATTGCTTAACGTCTAAGATCCGTAACAAAAACGTCAACTGACGGTCTGCGAACCGGGAGACGATCACGATTGCCGCTAACGCAATCGGGGAATATGTCCTATAAACGATTAAATGCCTCCGTAAAACGGGGCCGATTTTTTTTTACCTATACGGAAAATTAGCGGAGGTCACCCTTTGTTAGTCTATTCGAGGAAGGATAGACCCCGTCATCGGTCACACGCGACTTTCGTCTCAACGAATTGTTGTCATAAAAAATTTTACCCGAATTATCGTGTGATATATTTTAAATCGTTAAAGGCGCTTACAATTATCGTTAAACTCATCCGCTCCTATAGGGCGTCGATTTGTCTTCGACCTTGACGCCGATCGCGATTTGCGAATCCGACTTCGCGAGTCAGCTCGGTGCTTTCGCGCGCGTCATTTCGAGGGTGATCGGTGTACAAAAGGATAGAGAATCGTTTTTCGCTAAAAAAAAAATCGATGCACCCGTAAGGCTCACACACGAGCATCTACGATAGACAGGGAGGTGTGTGTATGTGCGCGGGGATACGTGATATATATATACATTTATATATGTATATATATATATATATATATTTATATCAGGAGTCTCCCGCGGGGCGACTATATACCTTGTGTAGCTTGGCTTTGAAAGACATCAGGTACATCTCAACGTTTCGTTACGTCAAACGGGGCGATTCGTTCGAGTGATACAAAACGGTACGCTCGATATTAGAATACGATATATGTAGATTTACGTACGTGTGTATGCACGTGTATGCGCGCGTACCGTTTCCCCGCTATTCAGTCGTGTGTGCATCGATCGCACCGTAGCGGGAAAGCGTACATATACATATACGTGTGTATGTGTGTGTGCATATAGTGTCCGTATACACAGCCGTTCCATCCAGCTTCGGAAGAGCGATCCTCATTAATCGCGGCTCGAACGCGCCTGGAGAGAGAGAGAGAGAGAGAGAGAGCTTTAAAGCGCCCATCGATCGTCGCTGTCCTCGCTCCAAATTCGCGGACGAGCGAGAGAGACAGAACTCTCACTCCCGAGAGTCGAGTGCTAAATAGGACACTGCAATAATTCGCAATGCTCTGTGTTCACGTATGAGATACGCCGGATTGCGCGTCGAGGCTGCAGTTGGTGCACGCTGGATTAAATGCACGCTTCCGCGACTAATTCGAATCTTCAGTCGCAAGCACATACAAGCTCGAGAGAGAAGGAGTTCTCTCTCTCTCTCTCTTTATCCTTTTATGTCAAGGCTGCGATAAGAGTACGCAATTTCGTTCCTCGAGTTTTATGAAGCTCCGCTTTCGAGACAAAGAGGGAGAAAGAGAGAGAGAGATTTCATCCCCGACGCGTTATCCAAAGCGCATCACTCTGGAACGTTGCACTCGCGGCTACTACTCGGCATGGGAGCACCACTCTCGTTTCGTCTATCGAAGGGCACGACGATTGGGAGGCAGCGCGTTCGCAAGAGGATGCCTTCCTCACGAGAGCGTGAAGATCGAGGAGCGCTCTTTCGATCCTTCCGTGGTCTCGATGGCGCTCCTGCGACGTTCTGGTGGCTCCGCGATGAGCAGCACCGGATTCTTCGGCGGAGTGTTGTCATCGCTGTCATCAGGCAGGCCGTAGTCGGTGCGGCAAGCAAACGCGACGCTGTTCGCCCTACGTCGCGTCTTGACCTTTAACGTCGCACCGCTGGCCTGCGTCTGATGCTGCTGCTGCTGCGGCTGTTGTGGTTGCTGCTGCTGCTGCTTCGGCTGCTGCGGCTGTTGCTGCTGCTGCTGCTGCGATTCCTGCGCCGTTAAACCGCTGCTCCTGCGGCTACCGCGTCTCGGTATCCCGGTCCACGATCTCGTCGCGCTACCGGATGGAACGGCTCGTTCTCAGTCTCCCCGGTGCCTAATCTCGCTCGCCGTCGCCGTCTCGACGCTGGTGGATCCGCGCTCGCTCGCGGTCGAGTCGCCTGGTCATAAGGGCGCCAACGTCTTGCTGCGGCGAGCGAGACGAGTCTCCAGCCACATGTACGGCACCACCGCCAGCACCAGGGTCAGGGCGAGGCCTAGCACGCGATAACGGGTGCACACCGCACCGTGCAGGCTGAGCGCGAGGGTCAAGCCGAGCCAACGCCAGAACAGCGACGTCGACAGCGGTCCCTGCCACGCGTTCGGATACAGGCCCATCACCAACGCTGAAAAGGTCAAAGATTGAATCTCTTCCTTGGCTCTCCCTTCCATTCTTACACCGGCGTCTTGAAAAAATTGTCGTTTTTACGTTAAAAAAAAAGTCTCATTTCTTTGCTATCGAATTGTCACGTTTCCATCAAAATTAATAATTTTTAAGAGAAGTGTAAATTAAGATATGCTATTTTTAGTACTGTTTTTCTTTTCATGCTTTTTCTATTCGCGGATATAAAGACGATATCTCGCCTCGTCTTTTGTCCCGTTTGCTTGTTCGATACGTATACGCACGCGATTCCACTGTGTAATGTGTATGCACAATTGGCGAACGGCGCCCGCGTTCTGACGGGATGCAGACGCGTGCCGACAAAGCGGAGCCTGCAGATCGCTTTCGAAGCTTCAGTTTTGGCTTACTTAATCGCAACGTGGATTCACGCAGTTTCTGCGAACCGTCGACCTTGCTTGCGAGCTGTTTCCGGCCAAAACCGCTTTGCCGCCTGACGTCCGCGCGCTGTAGAGATGAAACTAAAATACTTACTGTATACCAGAGTTTCCCAGATAGAGTTACAAACTCCCCAGGCAGCTGATATGACGTGGAAGAGAGCCGGGTCGTCTCCCGTCGGTCTCCAGGTCACCAGAACGAGCAGAAGACAAGCGTGGAAAGCGAAACCCACGACTAGAACGGAGAACAATATGCCTTTAATTTCGATTCGCGACTAAGACATTCGAATTAACGTGATCGGACCAGAATTGTTATGTGTCTCTACTCTCTACATTTATTTGGAAATTGACTCAACTTTCTTTTTTTTTGTTGCAATAAACGCATATTGTTGCATTTCTTTTATACTACCTATCTTATATTTTAATTTGTCTTTTAGTCAAATAAAGTAAGTTTATTTCATATATCTATTATTAAAGTCCGATCATGTGCTTAGTATTGAATTTGATGCCTTAGAAGTCACTTACCCACGACAAAGTACCTTTTAATGTGCCTCAACAGCATCGAGAGCGTCGCGGCGGCCAGAGCTTGTAACAGAGCCAAAGCCAGGAAGCTTAAGGTCACCGTACCGGCGCCGCCTAGGGCGCATACTACGTATGCCTATTTAAAATATAATGCTCTTTATAGTCATCTTTTAAGAAAATATAATGCCGCTTATGGACTTAAGTTGATTTAAAGAGGTATCGCAAACGCGATATCTCCTTAATCGACACGAATTGAGAGTCACTTGTGTTGCATTTAAAATATTTCTTGAAGCGATATGTTTTGATATATCATCACGGAGAGAATTTTTTTTTTAATTTACCATGCAAATCATGTTAATATGGGACAATATAATATTTAGGCAAATTTTACTGTGCACTACAATAAGTATTTTACAGTAAAATTTATTGTAGTGCACAGTAAAATTTGCCTAAATACTATATTGTCCCACAATTAACATGATTTGCATGATAAATTTAAAAAAAAATTCTCTCCGTGATGAGACAGACGATGAATAATGCAAGATTTTGTTAAAGTTTTGAAAAGAGATAATGGAAAGTATTTTTTAATTTTCGAATATAAAGTAACTCCATAATTTATAGTTTCTTTAAAATACTTTCTTCACTTTTAAGAAGAGAAATACACTAGATTAAATGAAATCTCGAGACAATCACACACAATTGTAATATTTATCCTAAACATTATTAAATTAAATGGATTTTTAAATCAATTTGCTTCCCTTACCTCCATAAAATCGGCATAAATGAAGCCCTGTTCCAGCCCGATGAAGAGCGTGAGTGGCGTTGCGAGCTGAAGCTTCGGGTCCTGAAACGCGCATTTCACGGTCTTGAAGATGTCTTTGACGCTGGCGCGATTGTGGTTTGTCTGAGGTTCCTGCAGCCTGGAGTCCAGGAACGCGCAGGATATGCCTAGACCAAGTACCGCCAAGCCGAGCCAAATGCTGACGAGGATCCTCGAGGTGCCGGTCGTGATCGTTGGCACGTAAAGCGATTCGTTGTAAAAGTACATCTCCTCCGAACAGTACTCGGCCCCGCAAACGTCGGTGTTACCTATGTTAGACGGTATCAGGTCCGTTAGTCTGACGAGGATCGCGGCGATGAGACAACCTAGAATTATGAAGAAACAATATTAAATAGATTAATTAAGCCTACAGAGTGTATACAACATTAGACGTAAGACGGAAATTACAATGCAAAATTAAAGTAGAGATACTTGAAATAGAAATCATTGCTGAGTTAATTTAGAATTTTTACGAAATATGTTTTTATATGTAATATTAAATAAAATCGAGGAAAATAATTATAGCTGCAATGTACCAATTGCGAGGCCGATGTCTTCGGCCAGCTTGATTCCCCGGTTAAGCCTTCTCAGCAGGCATTCGCGCCGCGACTCATCGGGATCCTCGGGACCATCGACGCAGACCAGCGCCAGGCTGGTCGCGGACACGTTGATGTGCGACGTCCTCGCCAGGAAGCTCGAACTGGCGCAGCAGCCTAGCATCACGTAGCTGGGTGCGAGTATGTACCTGACGATGCGGAAGAGAACACCGCGTGTATATAGATATATTTTAAAATATTCGCTTTTATCCGTTTTAATTCTTTTGTCAAATCATATCTTCGGTTAATATCTGGGTCGGAGATTCAGACTTTAGAATTAACAGCTTATATATGTTCTTCATTCGTTTAATACCTCTCAAATCACAGTATTGAACCGGTGATCAATGCAAAACTATGACGAATGCACTCGTTCATAAAAATTGAAAACTCAAAATTCGAATGATGTCGCGGTGGCGACATGATACCGTACCATTTGGGATACAAATGCACGCCGACGAAGATAGCAGTGACCACGTGGCTCGCGATGACGGCGAGGTTCGTGCCGAGCCGTTGCACGACGATGGGTGCGAAGCAGCTGGTGGCGGCTGCCATCACGTAGAGATAGGCGAGGAGCACCGGACCCAAACGGGGCTCGAACGCGCCTAAACCCGCCTGTAACGGGAAGATGGGCAGGGTGGCAGCCGAGCAGCTCGCGTGGCCGAGCAGAAGGGCCGCGATGTGGCGTAACACGACCTTACGTGGTGGTCTGGGCCCGGACGGGGCCGCACGGACCGCCGCGATCAACCGGCGCACGGATGACGCACCCGCCGACGAGTTCATGGAATCGCGACGCCGCCACGATAGTGCCGAGGTGCGCGTCGACCGGCAGGAGATCGGCGAGTACGCTGCCATATGCTGCAAAAGTGGAAAAAATAAGAAAACGGTAAGGCGAGAAGTTTCCTCGCGAGCGTGACTTGGTGCGCAATTGGCGACTATCTAAAAACTCGGCTAACAGTAATCATCTGCTGCGCGATGAACATTAGAAACGGTTGAATGCTCGCGCGGAACATTTAATATGCGTAAATGCAATCGTAACTTTTTTCCTCGATGCATTTTCCGAGTCTAATCTCTTCGGATTTAAATTTAGATTTAGCCCCAGATCCAGGATCACGATGATATGAGCAGTGTCAAATCAGGCTTTAGATCAAAGTTCGAGTTCGGTTTCCAAAATTATGCACATGCAGTGATCTTAAAATAATTTCAGCTATCGTCAGAATATTTTAATATTTATAAGAACTACGACTTCGCGGAGATATGGTCGATTTAAGCTAGGCGAGATTTCACAAAATTTTTCACAAAAATCAATCGACTATGTATTTATCGGTACCTCCAGCATGGCATCGTTGTCGCACAGGATAGAATGATGATGCCCGCTACTTCTTGCACGTTTATGCGTATGCGCCAGCGGTGGTGGCTGCGCCGGCAATCGCGCCGGACCAAGACCGCCGATCGGCGCCGGTTTGTACACCGGGCTCCCGAGCTTGTCCTTGGACAGTTCGTGAAGATTCGGCAAGGAGCCCATCGTTATCACCCCGCCGCAGTTCTGTCGCTTCGCGCGGTTACTCGTGGATGCCCTCCTCAGGCGTTATCAGACCCCTCGCTCGCTCTCATTACGATCGGGTAGCCGCCGTTCACGATCGAAGTTTTCCTCATCTGCGAGTTGGTCACCTAAATAGGAAGGAATGGACTTCGCACCAAGTCGCAATAACGCTAATTGCATGCGGGTAAAATATTTCTTATATGTCGATTCAAACATAGTACAAAGCTGAGTGAGATAGGCCAAGCTTCGCGATGTGAGATTTTTTTCAAACTTAACGCATGCCAAAGTCATGCCTTCTTTTAATCGGTCTGAAAGGATTACGAAGTTTACACGCGAGACTCGATAGGTTTCAAGATACAAATCTGGAACCATTAAATTGACAATTATTCATCCTCGCAGCGGTCTCCTTCGAACGTCAGATAAGGAGTCACTTAACGTTCAGATAAGGAAGTTGGCTAGATTCTCGGCGCGTACTTGCATAATTCAATCGAATGATACTCGTCACTCGCGCTAATTACCAGATGAAGGAAAAAAAAGGAAGAAAAAAAAATAAAAGAACGGAGAATAAAAATCGTAGCGGTCACCCGCGCAGCCTTGAACGAGAACTTGCTGAGCGAGCTAGCCGTCGGCATAAATAAATGAGACGTGCACGGGCGCAGCCTTCGTCAAACGGTTTCGTCCAATCGTGATGATTGACGATCGACGATCGACGATCATCGACGGAGGGAAATCGGAAAGCCATGACGAATGTAAATTTACGCGCGAAACGGGTCCGCGATCGCGTCATTCGATCTTAATTAACCTCGGCGGAAGGGGAAGGACAATAGGGGGAGGGAAGGGAAGAAGAAGAGAAAAAAAAGAGGAACAGAATACCCTGAGCGTGATCGCCACGCGACACGCTCGCCGCGAATGCGCCGATTGTTATCTGCTTACGCAACGCGAGCTTGTAACACAAGCACCTGCTTTACGACCGCGCGCAACCTCCCCTTAGTAACACGCACGGTCGGTTCGCTATCGGACGATCGGTAATTAGAAATCGGATTTTATTTCTTGCCTCTACTTCGTATTCTAATTTGTAACTGTCAGATCTGCCGGATATAGCCTCACGTTGGCTGAGCTAATGACTGGGAAAAACTTAGATGATATCGGAACAATTTTCCAGCAATCATAAAATAATGGAATTTAAAAACTACGAATTAGCGCAGCTTTAAAGCAACGTAATTAATCTCGTCTGTTCTCCGGTTATATTCACATTGATGTCGTGAGGCGATCTGTTTCTCTGTTTGTTTAAAAATTCTTCGACTCGCGATGTTCCCCGTGTTTTCGATGTCAGGAGAATTTTATTCCACGAGCGTGCTTCTTTCGCAGAGCGAAGCATTTGAGTGGACATTTGAGAAAGATCATCGAGGAGTTCCTAGTTACTGACGAGAAGTTTCGGAGAGTAATCGGCAAGTTTGAAAGCAATTTGATTGGCTCAACGACTCGAGTGATTCACAGCTCGACTCTTCGCACCTCTCTCGATCGTGGATCTTGCCCGTTCGATCCTGTCGGTCTTCCGTTATTTCGACGAGCGTGCCGCACGCGATGGTGGGACTCTAATGTGTGGAAATTTACCGAAAAAAACAATCCGTAGCTATAGGTGGGTGTAGCCGGTAAACCGAAGGTGAACTAGTTTTCAAACATAAAACTGTTCACCCAGCGGCATAAGACTCAGTGTTCTCACGGGAAATCCGGGACCGGAGAGGAAGGGAGAAGAAAAAAAAGCTGTAATTAAATCAGCAGACGCGGATCACTTTCTGTTATCAAAAATTTTGTAAAACAAAATAATTATTGACTTGGATATGAGAAAGTAATGGGATCGATGGAAAAGATGAGGAGTCGTGCGAGTTTCTCGCAGGGGGGAAACGAGACTCGATAGTCGCTTCCCTGTCCCTCCGGCTGTTCCCGCCACCGGGTGTCCTGAAAACCCGCCGATCGCGCAGTGCAGCTGCATTCTGTGTGCATTCGCTGCGTGGATGCTGAATGCATCTCGCGGCGTTGCAACGACGTGCGTCACAGGGGAAAATGCGGCCGATGCGACACGGTGCTGAATCGATATTTCGTTTTTCAGCACTGTCCGCGCTCCTGACCTTGGTTATTATTCTCGCGTCGGCCCACGTAACGTTAAAGCTGCCGATAATTACGTGGGTTTGCGTCGCTGGACTCGGGTAAGAGGTACGACGATTGGGAATGAAAAAAAATGCTGCAGACTCGCTACGCTGGCGAAGTCCTGGGCAGACTCGACGGCCAATAAGAGAATTATAGATAAAATCTCATTTTCGAACGAAATTGAGGCCAATAAATTTTCTCTCGTAGGAGATAACTGGATGCTTAAGTTGTCGGGATGATTCTGAAAAATATTGATAATTTTTTACGGTTTCTCCGTGTTTCTTGCCGCTTTTCAACCGGAATATGATTATTTCAGCACGAAGTAGTTGATCGAAGAGGACAGAGCCGCGCGCAAAGCGGGGTTTATTTTTCACGCTACGTTACGCACGACGGTAATAACGCGATGAGCAAAGCCGAAGACGATGGAGTGATGCAACTGTTTATTGTGCACATGTACAGCTGAATATCATATATTTAAACGCGGAGAATATGTTCGGAGGAACGTTGAACAGAGACGGTAAATTTTGGTCGAAAAATCGAAGGGATCGTAGCGATGGCTGGAAAAGCGCGAGCTTGCGAGAGAGGGAACGGAGCTTACGTTTTCGCGTTTACGCTGCTGTCCGGCCGAAAAATCGCCATGGTCCCCGCCGACTAGGAGCTCAGCCAGTTGTTCCGCTGCAGTAGATTATCATGGAGCGTGATCGCCCCTCGTGAAATCGAAATCGTTGCTCTCATCCCGTGCAGCAGCGACGAGCCCCGTCATCGGCGTTCGCAACGCGAATGTTTCTGCACGTCGTCTTCAGAATCTAAATCAAGCGCGTCGCCGTCTTAAGCGGTAACGACGCAAAAGCGCGACGTTAGATCCGCGGCACTCGCGTGATCTGAGCGTCGACGACTCGGGGAACCGTCGTCGCGACCATTCGCATCCCGAAATTAGATATCACCCTAAGATTTGATAGAAGTCAGTCATCAAGCAACTTTAACGCACTTGTCGCGGGGCATCAACGGCCGCGCTCGGGACCGAAATCAAATTGAATTCGCGTGGTAGCGCGCGAACGAATCCGCACGAATCTGATACCACCTGCGAAACACCGGTGCAGGTCGTAAAAATCGAGACGAAGGTTGACGCGTCGCGAGTCGATCGCTATGAATCACGCGCGGATACCACTGTATCGTAATCACTTCGGGGATGGTCCGTTATTAACATCGACACGACGAACCGTGTTAAATACAAAGCACACGAAATCGAGAATGCGAAAGACGATGTCCAAAATTGACATACGATCAATCGCTGATGCCCCTTATTTGGGGGATGCGCGCGATTTCCGTCCCGGATTTAACTGCCTCTCTCTGTTATACCCACGAGTGAGTCACGCAGAGATGTCAGATCTTGGTATCCCTTCGGGAGATGTAAACACAGTACGAGGCTGCGGATTCTCTCGTTTGACGTCGTACAAGCCTCCTCGCTTCCGTTTCCGAAGCGTTTTCGCGAAGTCGCGAGCGGGCCGCGAACGCGAGCTCTCGCGGGATCGCGATCGACGTTAACCAGTACCGGAGTACCGATCCGCGGAGTACAGGATCCAGATCCTGGGCCGACGAAGGGACGACTCGGCGGAGAGCGGCTCGCCTCTCTGTGCCCGCAATTCGGTGTCGCTCGGTTCTGCTCGAGCCAGCTCGGCTCGGCCTCCTCTTCTGATGGTCGATAACAGCGAGAGTGCGTACTGAGGGCGCGCTCCTTTAATTCCTATCGAGAATCTTTCCCGAGTGCGATTTTCCTTCGAATCTTATCCCGGCACGCGAAAAATTTTGTCGCGGGTCTTTGGTTAATTGGCCAATTAACGGAGCTGTGTTATTAATTTTATCGTCGGCAAAATCAGTCGCACGAATCGTTAGACTATTATTGTTTTTCCGCGATTTTTAAAATCTGTCAGCGCCCGCTTGTATTTTTGTAAATTTGCAGTTAGGTGCCCCTTAAAAGTTACAACTTTGCGAAAGGAGATGACGGATCACGTTCAAATAATTGAAAAATAAGGAATTTACATAAAAATGCAGACACGTCTTTAATGACAACTTATAGCGTGACAAGCGTTCCTGAAACAAAGCGCGTCGGTGAGTGCGGATTAATTGGCATCAAAATCCCATGTTGCTCGTTAAAAATCAGGTCGGGGTCACTCGTGGACGATATTAGATCCCGTAATCAGTATCTCCAAGTCACTAATTACCCACGCTGTTGCAGGAACGAAGGTTTCCGCTCGCGAATCTGACGGCCTTCCACGGATGTGCACGCGCCGCGAGCGTGCAGTTTGCATCTTCCAATTCTGTCGCGAGTGTCGTCGACGGTAACGTCGATTGTCGCACCTGTCACGTGTAACTGTCACGTTTTACAGGGGAGAAATCGAACGCGTAGTTGAAAGCGCTATATATCGGCAGGTCATAAAATTAATTGAATCGGTAAAGAAGAAAGAGAAAAAGAGAACGCACGTACACTGTTTAAACTATGGCAAAAAATAAAAAAATTTTAAAAATTAAATGTTTGTAAGATTTTTCTAAGAAGCTCGAACATTCGTCTCCTATTTTTTTCTACTTAATAATTCGATAATCAGAAGAGTAGACTGGCATAATAGTTCAATCACCGTCGCGAGCAAATCTTTTGAGCATTTCTTCGAACGTTTTAATGCTATCATCTTAAAACTTCCGCTGAATTTGACTCGATAGAAAAATTTCATTTTATTATCTGCTGCTAAGTATATCTGGTTGCACGTATATCCTTCGATGATCTTAAAAATTAAAAGATTTGGCAGGATATCGTAAATCTATCATTGCACATATTTGTGACACTATTAATTTGTTCGTATATTAACGTTTATATTTATCATAATTTTGCAATAACATAATGTTAGAAGACTATGATCAATAAAATAAAATGCTCGAGATTTATTGTAAACGAACGTGATTTTTTTCTCTGACGAGACAAAGTCCTAAATCAAACTTGCGGACAAAGAGTCGAGCGTCTTGGAGGAGAGCGGTGAATAATCGCGGTATGCGGTATTATCCCATTTAGCATCCCTCCGAAGACCACATTCCTCGATTAATGATCGCGATCGCGATCGTGACAATAGGACACACGTATCCTGCTGCCGCCTCTCAAGGAGAGACAACAAACTACCTTTGTCATTACACAGCGACGCGCTTAAGAGCCGTGACACACGAGAGAGGTACGGGGAAGTGTGTCAATGTTACGGCGATCGCATGCCAGGTATCTGTGTACTTAGGTAGGTGCGTGCCGCTCTTCGAGCCGCGGGGTTAATCACCTCGTGCCGCTTATTGTACTCCTAGCGATCAACCGGAGACCTGCATCTCTTCCCAGGCTGTAGAAGCGATCAGAGTTTCGCAAGTTTGATATAAAATTACAACGGTAATGTCATCGAGGTTCTACAGGGTATCAAATACACTAATTGTAAGATCATAATTACGTTCCCGCGTAAGCGTCACCACGTATGGCCACGTTAATTATCCGCAGATGGAACACCGGCGTGATATACATCTTTTGCCGCCAACGCGCGTGACTTCGCGGCACCAAAGTCCGAAGGACTTCGTTGTTACGTTTCCGCGGCGAGGCGTCTCCGCGCGCGTCTCTCTCCACATCGTTCTCCCGCGTCGTTTTCCAGCAGCGATGATGTAACGAGTAAGGTGCAAGCGGTCAAGTTGCAGCGCGACCTTGAAAATCGAAGATCGAGAGTATCCCCGCCGTCGATGGTGATGGTGGTAGTGTTTCTCCCACTGTGTGGCGAAGTGTAACTGCCAAGTATACGTACACCATATCCGCGAGTCCTGTCCCCTTCTTCCTTCGTCAGACGCACGGAAGGAAGGCCCGATCCTTGGACACTTTCTTATAAATGTACGTTGGTCACCGGCTCGCGTCTCAATTGCACGCTCCACCCTCCTGTACGCGGAGGGATCGATCAGGTTCTCTCCTCATTACCTGGTTCCTCCGCCCGGCCTTTCCTGCGTCGTCGCGCGTCTCGCGGCCGATCAACGGTGCCGAGAAGTGGATCCCGATTTTTTTCTGGAGTTCGAGGCTCTCCGTCGCGGTTTTGCTCGAAGGATACTCTCGTGAGTACTCTCTTAGCCCTATCAATTTCCGGCGGGATTTCAAAGTCAAAAGTCAAAAACTTTGCTGTTTTCAACGACGGGCAATCGAAAGAATGATATAAGCTCCTCAGGCTGTTTTTCATTTGTTGAAAGGGGAATGACGAGCTTACTGCACCGGCAAATCGATAAAGTATTTGCCAAAAGAAGTTTAATATTACGGTTTCATATTTCTTCATTATGTTTTATTCCGGAGATTTGGGTCCAACTATATATTACCTTCCTTTCAACCTCTTTGACCATTCTGTTTTAACAGAACTTGTTCTGACAGAACGTCAAGCACATTAAGAGCTGATATGTCACATACTTTCACGCTGAAATAAATAAAATAAAATTGACTCTAGCAATAAATTAGATAGCTGAAGAAACGGCAATAAGTTAAAGGGATCGGTGTCTATATAGTATAACGTTCGGCAAGCCGGATTTTGACAATTGAATTGGCACTGAATATGCGGAAAAAAAATGGTGAATGTATCGAGTGAATGTGAAGGAAAGACAATATACATGACTCTGGACATACGTAACACAACGATATGCAATACCGAGGAATCGTGTTCGCGCAGCTATCTCGTTTGTTCTATACTGTCTGTAAAACGTTTGGAATGTCAACAAACAGGAATATAAATCCGCGCATAAATTTGTATGTACATGAATAATTAAGCGCTATTTTTTTTTAACAAAACTGTAAAGTATAGCGGATTAAAGTAAATCTAAATTAAAATATAATAATTAGGCATTAAGAGTCAAAAAACGCGATAATTGTTGCGTGAAATAATCTTCTTGTGTATTTTTCGAGGTATAAATTATATTTCTCTCAAAGAATTATCTTAAAACTCTCGGTAATCCATAAATTCAAATGACAGTCGTCCCACGTGCGATCGAGACCTGTTCTCGACTCTCGCTCTCGATCGCGCAATCTCGGTGTGGTCCCGGTGATTAATTAATTAATGCGAACGCGATTATCGCCTGCGCTGCTATTCCACCGTTGTTCCGCGCTATTTGCAAGGCTCGTAACTCGCGATACGCCTTAGAGGCCCGTTAGATCCGCATCCAATCCGGGATGCCGACGCATGTTCTACGCCCATAATGTCCGTTCAGCCTTCAACTTAGCGCAGGCCTCTAATTAAATCTCACCCGCTTTGTCAATAGCTTACCGGATCATGATACATCACGTTTCACGATAGATTATGTGCGTCTCTGTCATATATTCAAATGTGGAAAAATTCACGTGATATGAATTATCGATTGTCCTAACATCTATTTTGTGATTTCAATTTTACGCACGAGCTTCTCGCAATCCTGCGAATATGCATATATATCTACATCTCCGACGTATAACAAATGCACGCTTATAGACAAAAAAAAAGGAATTTTCCTTGTAAACGTTCGGGAGATCGAACGAACGCTAATAAATCAGTAAATTGTTTGTAACTAATCGAGTAATCGTAACTGATAAATATATGTGCATCGCGTAAGTCTCATTCAGTATCATATGTTGGATTCGTGCAACTATGAATCAGCTAATTTGCAATAAGCAGCAATGTTGTCGTGGATAATTTGATAGATTTCTTTTACGTAATACATGTTTATTAGGTACAAGAACACACCTTTAAATAGCTTATTAATTGTTATTCATCTATAATAATTATTCCGCTTGTCTGCTTTATTTACCAGTTTTTCCTGCTACTGTAATCTCGTCTCTGATTGCGATCACGTGTTTGCGAGACCGTGTGCGCCTGCGATTATTTGTAGAACGCGACGGTTACTTTATGTTACGTTTACTTTATGTAATTAAATTTTATTTTATTTGGAGAGAGAGAGAGAGAGAGAGAGAGAAATGAGAGAATCTCTGATTACGACGTACCGAGAAGCCGCGAGACGCTCGCGGGAAAATTTTAATCCGTTTAACATCGGAGATTTATATTTTTCATTTACTCTCGGTATAAAACTTTCACCGAAGAAAGGTCGCCGGCGAGACTCGTAAGAGCGCTTTTTGCACGCTTCGCGGAACGCATCCCGTATAAGCGACGACGGTGTCCGTCGCCCCGCGGAATCTCTCGAGTGACGCTGGAAAAAATCATTAAATCCAATCGGCCGGAAAACACGGAAAGCTGCTCCCTTTTTCCTCCTCCTTTCCCCTCTCCTCCTCCTCCCCCGGGGAAAGCGAGACGGCGAATGGCTTTTAATCGATCGGCGGCGCGCGCGCGAACTCTCCTCCCGAGGCGGTGTATAAATAATGTATCGAAAGGGAGAGCCCCGAGTGTGAACCCGTTACCGTAAAGATATGTACCCACGAAAAATCGCTGTGCAAATGGAGATGCCGGCAGATTATGGAAACGAATTACAACGGCGAATTGTCTCGTTGATCACTTCTTGGCGAACGGAATTAAGATACATATCTCCAGACACACGTGCAGTACAAATATGAGTTACTCATTTACTCATTCGCATTCTAATCATTCATAATTCCGCGCAATTCGCTGTTTATTGTCCGCAGTCCTTCGTGTTATTATTCGCGCGTTATTCGAGCAGGATGCATGCGCGCACAGTTTCGCCTTGACGTGCTCCTCTTTTTTTTTTGTTCTTGCGTTAATTGTTGGCAACGCGTAAGCGCACAGTGCATAATACAGTAAGATTCTGTATCGTGTGTGGTGCGAATCTGCGTGAATGGATTATCACGAACAAATTTCTTAAAGCTAACGGTTACGAAGAGTATCTGCGGTACCACGTGCTGAGATACGTGAATATTTTTCAGGATTTTTCGAAATAACGATTTTCGTCTATCTATAACTATGAAATAATAGAGATGATTAGATTTTTATCTGGAAATCTACGAGTTTCTACGAACCGTGCAATTACGCGGTCATTTATTAACAATAAACAGTTTTTGACGCGCCCGTCCGTTCCGCTCGTCATTACGTTGACGTTGTGGAACGATATTTTTATCTATCATTAAGTACCCCTCTTTTAATCGGCATTGATGTAACACGAACTAATGGCACTTCTGCGTAAGAAGATATAGATACGAGCTATATTTTATGATGTAAATTATAGCCGCCCCCCTCCCCTTCCCTAAGATATCGCAATAACATCGTAAATTCCTTTATTTTTCTGCGCTTCGCAATTTTACTGTATAATTTGCAAAATGCAATCATCTCTGAAACGCAATTAAAGTTCGAATTCCAAATCAAACATACGTTTTTTAAGCTTCAATTCCCCATCGCAGTGGTAAGCATTAAAAAAAAAACGATTAAGCTCTTAGCCAGAGTCTTAAATTAGCCAGACTTTTGATCACTTTATCATTATTTCAAATCATTTCGATATTTTTTTTCAAGAAATCCAATATTCCAATCAATGAGATTCTGCGAACGGTAGCAAAATAATTTCAATCTTCCGAGGGACGTGGAAGTTTAAAACTCGTTCGGTCTCAAAGATTTTAATTACAAGATATGATTCACAAAATAATCTACAATTGGCAGATCTTAGTAACATTTTGCGATGTCGCATCGCTTAGTAAGAACTTTCGCGAGTTTTTTCTCCTTGAAGGTACTGCCTCCTCGCGCAAGCTTATCCAACGGAATCACCACGAATAGTGGATGCACGTGTAATGTGCAATAATGCGATAATACGCGCGACAATAACAGCGGTAATCTCGCACAATGAAGATTAATTGTATATTATACGCCGCGCTGCTCGTCAGGTTGTATTATAGAAAAAAAAAAGAAATCGCTTTGCAAGATTGCTAAATATCGCACGAATGATTCGCACAAATACACACTATAATTAGAAAAAATACAAAAAATTATGAAAAATTTTCTAGTATCATCCGCATCAATCGAGAGATAATATTCTGCGGTTATTGAGTTATAGATTATTACCTACGTTATAGGATGATACAAAGTTATCATCGACTGTTTCAAGATTTTCACAGAGATATAATTGTATAAAGCAACTTTTTCGAATTCCCGAATCGACGCAGATTCTCCGTTTGCGTCAATACTTTTATTATCTCGGCTTTATTTGCATCGCGGAAAAAGATGACGCGAAAAGATACAGCGCGTAATTTTACGTAGTACACCCGCTCATTACGACGCTATTTATGCGTCTCTGTTCTATCACCCGCTGCGCGCGCGACCGTGGCCAAGGATTTTTACATTAATAAATCACTATAAATCATAGCATAATAATACCCCTGATAACTTCCGCTTCACCCTGCGACGACCCTCGCGTTTTCCGCGACGAACGACACGTAAACCGCACTCGCGCCCTTCAGCCGACAATCACCAAGCCCGACGACAAATCACTAAGACGGATATTCAACTATTCTCATTGACTAAGGCAAATAACTATGCTTCGCTTGCTTATCGTCGGCTGTATCAGCGCACCGTTCGCGCGTGTAATTACAGCGGATTGAATTACAGATTCGTAATGCTTCCATGCGTCGAGCGGACCCCCGTCGCTGACAGAAAGCAGCCTTCCTTGAGACCCAATCGAAATCGCCGCGAAAAACTGTAATTTGTCGCTGTTAATGACACATGCACATTTCGAGACTGTTACGAGACACTTGACTCATTTCCAAGTTTACACCTTGACATTCACCATTGATCATCGATTAACTACGGAAATCGACAAACGAATTCCTCAGGCGTGTCTAATTGCATTTTTTTTGTAGCCATCGAAAGTATCGAAACGTTCGTGCCATTCGAAACATTCGGCGAGCGGTCACAGCTCCTCCATCGATCTCCTGTTTCTTCTAAAATACCTTTGTCATCTCTTTACGTCCGTCGCTTTGTCAAGTGAAGCGTGATGGTTTTTGTTCGGGATCGATTTGCCTATGACGTTCTCGTTTAACTCCGTCAGCTTTCGTCTTCGTTTTATTCGCCTTACGTAATTTATTAAATCAATCTCGACGTGCGACATAAATTAGAACAGAATAAAATAATTAGAAAATGCAGTTATATGAAAATTAAGGGTCAGCGATTAATTAACGTGGCTGATCTAAAGTTTTTTTCACCTCGAGTGTTTTATCGTGCGCAGCGTTGAGTATTGTGACAAGCGTTCTAATATTAACGATATATGCGAAATGATAATTTTCGTTCCATCTCAACGATTTTGGTTCAAGGTAATCCGGCACGAGGCTCATGTCTTAAGCTTCTCGCGCGTGTACACGAGCTTTTCAATCCGTGCTCTATCATAATTATGTGATTTCCTACCCATTTGCGGCTCTTCCGAAGACGACACTCATGCGTGCGCGATAAAAAAACGACGTCGACAAAATTGCGGTAACGATGATGATCGTGTAATTTTTGTTGTACTAGATTGCACGTGTCAGTCGTGGCACGTGCGCGAAAGTTACGCTCGTCGTCCGTATAAATGATTCGTCGTTGATTCTTTAACCCCGAGAATCCAGTACTTTCAGAAACACTTTCGCAACGTGTCACGATGACATAAAGAAGTATATAAATCTGCGACATAATACAAAGTTAACGCAAGTTGAATATTTCTCACACATCTCTCTTTATAGCTGCAATGTTTGTACAACTGCGTCACCTCGATTTATATAATACGCAGCGCATTTTACATTATCTTACAAATTAAATCATCAAATGATAAACTTTATTTGCAAATATACACATGATATATAATTAAAGTGAAAATTTGTCAATCGGTGTCGTGACGTTATTGCGCAAAAGTCTTCCTAGACTGGCGATTGATTTCTTACAAAGAGCATACATAAGCAACACACATCTGTACCCAATTAGACCGTTCTCCGTTTATGTCCCGGACCCGTCCGGCGCTGCACTGGTGAACGCAGAACGAGTCACGCGGAACTCGCTCGCGTCACTCGCTTGCTTTTAGGGTCGATGCAACGTGCCGCGTTCTCGCGGAGGCAATTGCATTATACGTAAATCGCACCGGTGGAGAGACCTTGAGCGATCGCGCCGGCACGGTACTGACCGGCGTCAGCCAAGCCGCTACCTCAGGCCAGGATATTGAAATTAAAATGCTACCGTACCGATCGATTGTGAATAATAAAAGCAGTTTCGTAACGGCAATCTTCCCGCCGCGCGTTTCCGATTGCGATTCGCGCCGTGTCGTACCCGTTTCGGCGACGAACGCACGTGACTGGCGATCAGCATTTTTCATATTCATGAACGACGCGACAATCAGCGTTTTATTCTTTCTGAAAAGATCAAGATGTAATAGTTCTAAGAAAAAAAAACTACAGAAACTTAACGTAGAAAATCAAGAATTTCTCATTATGGGAATCCTTAAAAATACGATTCCCAAGCCGAGCGCGCTTGAAGACGCTACCAATCTCTTATGGAAACATCTTGTAATTCAATCCATCGTAATTTATTGCGTGCAGCGTTTATCCGCATTCTATCCGAATAATGCAAGCTCGCGGATAAACACGTCGATTGCGCGATGGCTGATATCTTCGCCGACGAACGCGACAACTGTAATTCTCTCATGCTAATTATATAATCTTGCACGCCGTGCAGTCTTACAACATGAATAGAAAAGGATCCTTCTCCGAGGCATGCATTTTTTTTTTCCAGATCAAACGAGGATGTTTCGCTCGATCATGCAAAAATTGGCGTTCCTCTACAAGCCTTACGCGTTGGCCATAGTGTCGATCGGATATGTCTTAGGAGAATTAGGCCACTATCTGATAGGTAAGTTCCAATGGTATCCTTCATATTTTATTATGAATCTAATTTATGTACATTAATCAGTACATCTAATCAACTGTGCATATTAATTAATTTCGAACAATTATGTTTCATTGTCAGAATTTGATCTTTCTCATTGCCATGTATCGTTGAATTCGTGCGTGTTTCACGTGTCTGATTTTATTAAAAACATTAGAAATGAATTAAAAATTAATTTCCCCCATTTAAGGTGTGACGAGCAAAGCGATCGCCGAGGACCTGCATTACGGCGACATATCCTGCCAATTTAATTCGACGACGCTGACGATAGCCGAACTTCCGGTGCAATGCGAAACCGCGGAGAATTCCAGCTAGTAAGTTTCGTTAATGCCACCTGCTCCAGAAAGCCCCGGCCTGGGAAAACCGCCGGGAGAATCGCGTGTAACTGTAAGAGCAATTAGTTTAGATTTGCCGTTTCCTCTCGCGACGACTCGATTTCCTTGTAGATGATTGATTCACCGCGCGCAACTTAATGCCGCTAAGTCACGCGTCGATAATGAAACCGAGATACTGTTAGGAGATACCCGCGCGAGAGGACACGCGACTCCACGCCGAGATTGATCGAGTGCCGTTGTTAACGTTATAACGGATAAACTGCTAAGTGCCGCAAATAATTTTTCGCTGGGATTCACGATAACGAAGAGGAATCCTCGTGTAAACGGATTGTACGCGATTTGTACGGTAATTACACAGAGGCAGGTCGATCACGCGGATCTTGCCGCACGCCGACGCGACGTAGCAATTATCATTGATTCGTCATCGCGCGCCGCGCGCGCGCTTTCCCTCGGCCCGCTCGTATAACACGCTCTTTGTTGCCGTCAGCTGCCGATCCCTGGAACTGAACGGATCATATTACTGCGAGTGGAATTACAACGGCCTCGGTCTGGACTATCAAATCTTGGCGGGGCCCAGCTTCATCGCGGTCTTTACCATCGTCGGTGTTATCCTGGGTATCGCGGCTGACAGATACAACAGGTAGATAGATCGAATTAAATAATTTAATTGCAATAATTTAATTGCATTGTCGAGCCTTTGCTACCTTTAACGCACTTTTTCTCTCGTTTCAGAGTGAAGCTGCTGACGGTCTGCACTCTGATATTCAGCGTCGCGATCATCCTTAGCGGGGCCGTGACGGAATACTGGCATCTCGTTATTTTGCGAATGATCCAGGCAGCGGGGTAAGTTCTATGGCAACAGCGATGGCACTTCCGCTTCCGATTGTTCGTTCGCAAACAGATAAACAGGTTCGATCATGCTGCGTTATTTTATATTAAAATCCGAATAAATCTTACAGAGAGGCGGGATGCAATCCGCTAGCGACCGGTCTTCTGTCAGACTGGTTCCCGGAAAAGCAGCGGGGTCTCGTCATGTCCATTTTCAATTGGGGCATTTACGGCGGTTACGGCATTGCCTTTCCGGTCGGTCGCTACGTACCTGAACTGAACGCCTGGGATCTGGTGAGCTAATATCCGATCGACATTGTCTCTTTTGTATTTATTCTCTCTCTCTCTCTCTCTCTCTCTCTCTCTCTCTCTCTCTCTCTCTCTCGCTTGCGTTGGTTTTTAAAGCTGATGTGTTCCTGTGATTAATTGCTCGATAAACATCCCGAAATCATTTCCGCGCGGAAGGAAACCATAATGAAGGTCACAGTGAACTTCACAAAATTATTTTGATAATACTAACGGAATATTTCCAAAGATGATGTAAAAAAATACGCGTAGAAGTTTTAAACTGACGCAAATAATTCTGGCAACATGATAAATTAATCGAGATATGAAGACACTTGAAAATTAACATAATCAGATTGGGCTGTTAATTGGCAGGGCTGGAGGGTCTGTTATTACGGAGCCGGAGTGATCGGCTTAATCATCGCCGTCCTCACCGGTCTGACGCTAACCGAGCCGGAAAGAAAAACAATCGGCGAGGAAACGACGGCCAACGACAGGGAACGAGTATCGATTTGGAAAGTGCTACTGCAACCGCGCATTATTCTCTTATGCCTCGCCGCCAGCATCAGACATTGCGGTAAAGGGCAATACCTTGAAGCGAAAGGAATGAGATACATATCGAGGGTACAATAGCGAGTTTGCACTAATCCGGCGAATTCGCTTCGCCGTGATAATCTCTTCTCTCTCTCAATACATTGCCTAATAAAACTGAAATCTACGCTCTCGAATCTCGTCGATCTGAAGAAGGGAACGAAGCGAATCTGACTTAAGCGGTAATTAAATCTTCTTTTACGACGTTTCGAAATTTATATGTAAATTTATTTTAATTATCTAAAAATTCTTTGATGCGTTCGTAACTAAATTTGCAAATCGTCACAAAGCAAGGGGAATCTCTATTCTTTCGAAAAATTCCTATTTAGCAAGCCTTTATTTCTCTCTTCGATCGAACGAGATTTACTTTCAATTTATGTCACAATCTTTTTCCCATCGCACGTATCGTTTTACGCAAACAGAATTAAATAGTCGCTTTCCTTTTCAGGCGGCATGTGCTTCGCCTACAATTGTGATCTGTACTATAGAGACTACTTCCCGGACTACGATCTCGGCTGGTGGCTTTTCGCCGTCACGATTGTCATCGGTAGTATCGGCGTCGTGGTCGGTGGGATAGTTAGCGACAAGTTCGTGGCGAAAATGGGAATCCGTTCGCGCGTAGCGTGTTTGGCGATCAGCCAGATAATCGCAACACCGGGCGCCTTCGGTTCGGTATATTTCAATCCCCTGTGGGCCATGATCACGCTAGGCTGCTCCTATTTCTTCGGTAAGATATATAGATATCGCATAGATGTCACGTATAGAATTGAAAATTCTCCAAGTTCAAACATTCTATAAAGTATAAAATATTGACGCATATTTTATACAGCGATCGTTTCTTTAATTCAATCTTGTCGTTTTATTTGCAGCCGAAATGTGGTTCGGAATAGTGTTCGCTGTCGTGGTGGAGATCGTTCCTCTGAATTTGCGCTCGACCACCGTCGGCGTTTTTCTGTTCGTCATGAATAACATCGGCGGAAATTTGCCAATTCTCGTCGAGCCTACCAGAATGGCCATCGGTTTCCGGGAGTCGTTGTATATTTATTACGCTGGTTTCTATGGCATCAGTAAGTGATGGAATAGGAAATTAATTCTTATTGCCGTATATAAACGTTCGCATTCGTAATCGCTCACGATTGGGCCTTTTAGAAATTCCGGTGACTTTTATAAAATCAACTCTCGATATTACCTATCACATATTATTGACAAAATCTAAATAAACAATTACGAAGAGCGACCGGTAAAGTTGCTGTCGGAAAGTCTTTGATCGCGAAAGAGAGCACACGGATGAGTATCATGATACTTGCTTTGTACGTAGGTGCCATTATGTTCTTCCTCACTATGTTCCTAATGGACGGCCCTGCGGAGGTGGAGAGAAAAGTGGACAAGGAAGCTCCTCCGCCGGCGTACGACAATAGCACATTCACTAACGACGATGGCCAATTGCCAACGTTGGAGCTGCCACCGTTTCCGGCGCGGCCGCCGATCTACGAACATTCTCGGTTATGAGCCCGAAAGAGGCTCTTGCTCCTAAGAGTGTAATGTAAATAGTATTTTGAGGTATGTTTGGACTAAGTATGAGTCACGTAGCTAGAGATATTGGCGGCATTAACCTATCAACGGCGATCGAAGATCTGTTACGAGAAGATTGTCCTCACACCGCCGACAGTTGATAGATTGAAACTGATACAATTTATATTTCTTTTATTTAAGATGGAAAAATACCAGACGATATTTGTGATTTTTTTTTACGTCTCTCGTCGATCAACTCGTTGATGGGTTAAAGTTCCTCATGCCAAGAGACTTACGAAATTGTGCGAAGGCACGATTTACCAAACGGCAAATTGCGATAATTAAGAGCTCTGTTTAGTTTGAGCGCGGTATGTTGCAAAACATTCACGCGCGCATGGCAGATTACGTAAGGTTCTTGATAAAGAAGTTTACAAAAAGCTTGATAAACTCCGACAATCTTCAAGATGTGTTCTGCGTTCTTAAAATAGAAGTGTGTAACAGAATGCACCAGGTGTAAAATTTTTATAAAAAAATAAAAATGAAAAAATTTCCATATAAAATACTAAACTTAATATAATACTTATAATACTATAAAAGAGTTTAAGATCTTTCAGTTACGCAATTATATACGATCTTTTAGGGGCGTTTATTAGGATTGATCCAGGTGTGTCATAAAGTGATTTACGCGCGCATTCATTCAGCACGGATTGCATGTTGCAAAGTGTTTTATTGAGAAAGTCACATAAATTAATATTAAGCTAAATTAATATTAAGTGGCTAATATTGGTTTTGGTGTTATCACATGTCACAGACAGCCTGTCGAGTTCACCATGGCGGATATAATACAAAACGGTACTAACGCATCATACATTTTAGTATTAATGGTACGGACCACGCTGATGAAACATTACACACAGGATGCGAGTAATTCTACGTATGGGATTAGCAGCACTTGAGATTCGCTCGTCCATCTCTCTCTATGTACAAATTATTTAATATAAATAAACGAATCTCTACACTTGTAATATACAAAAGTAAGAATCGCGGGGGAAGGAGGAGAAGAGTCGCGGAGTGTCCTCTCGACGGGACCGCCTCGACGAAGGGGTTTTGTCATGAGAAATGCTGTGTACATATCTACATGCAGAAACCGTACGGACGACACATGTTCGACGTTCTGCGAATAAATAGCCGCTTAAGAGTGCACGCCGCTGCAACCAGATTGATCTACCTGCGTGCGCCGGACGATGCTGCCGCAATTACGTCGATAGACGCAGATAAAAAAGAGGAGACAGGGAAGAGAGGGGAGAAAGTATATGTGGATGCAGTGCGTCAATAAGTGTAAAGACTAAAGCCTCCTTTACGGGTTCGGCGAACTCTAATACTTCCCGAGCCGGCTAACACCTGACGACTTAGCGCGGTAATGCTCTTAATACTAAAAACGGATACCTACTTCCGTTTAACGAATATCGAATAACGGTTTCACATGGCGCCGGCTCGCCAATGCGCGAGACGCAACGAGTGTGTTTGTGTGTTTATTTTCATTACCGCACAAGGCGATCGTGCCGACGCAATATTATTCGGCTTTTATGCGGCAACGTCTCGCTAAAAATAAACGTTTTTTTATTGCGTCGGTGCACTTTTATTCCGCCAAATCTCGTTACGCGCAAGCGAAAAAAAAATGTGTCGGAGGAAAAATGCGTTTAACGCGACAATTGAATTCACACGTAATCGTGGAAACGAGCCGCCGACTGCTCGGAACACAAACGTTCGATCTCATTCACACCACATTGTTGGAAAATACAATAATTTATCTCTGGAACATTTAAAAACCGTGACGAACTGCGAAAGTATGCCGACTCACGTCTATCAAAAAACCACAAACTGCCTTTTCGTCCGCGGCAACATTATTTATTTCTTTTTACTTATTGTCTCGATCGCTCGAAGTCCCTCAACGAACTTGTACCACGTACGTAAACGCAGCCATAATTTACGCCACCTCCCTCCGCATCGTGCGTGTTCTTTCTCTCGCATGATCGCATCGATCACCGAAGGAATCAGTTCTCTCGCGATTTCGACGCGTAAAACTCCGCGCAGTTTCGCGAGATCCATCGCGATTCAACACTCCTCCGTGGACGTGCTGGAGATCTGCGTGCTGGCGCCGCTGGAGAAGCTGCTCCTGCAGGTCTCCACGGCGAGAGCGGTGTCCGGCACCTGGACGAACTGCACCTTCTCCTTGGGCCACCTACTCCTGCCGTAGACGCAGTTGAAGATGTTGTAACGATGGTCCATCTCCAGTTGGCTCAGGGTGCTGCTGTGCCGGCGCTTCAGCACCTTCTTCGCCATCAGGCTGCGATTGTTCTTGTACGAGAGCTCGCGATGGAAGCAGAAGAACTTGCGCAGCTCCCGCTTCACCCGCCGGGACCGATAGCCGAAGAGCAACGGGCTCGCGTAGGCGGCCAGGATCAGGAAGCTGAGCGCGAGCACGTCGTATTCGTGCGGAAACACGTAATCCGAGTACTGCGGCAGATTCTTGATCATGCTCAGTAGCACGTACGGCGACCAGCAGATCAGGCCCATTACGATCACCAGCGCGCTGATTCTGGCCGCCCGGGTCTCCTCGCGATACCTGAACAGGGAGCCGTTGCTGATCCGGTGCTTGAGGGAATTGATGTAGCTGTTGGTGCTGCGTACACTGGCCACTCGGTGCAGCGTGCCCGGCTTGCCAGGCGCCGGCGTGATTGTCACGATGGGCGTCAGAAAGCAAGACGAGGGCTCCGGACTGTTGGTCCCAATGTTCTCCACGTTTCTACCAATCGTGTATGACTCCACGTTGGCGTCCAAGACGCTGGGTCTCGACAAACGGCGACTAGGTCGTCTAGATCGCTTGCTCTCTGAGCCACCGCTGGAATTCGAGACCTCGTTTTGCGCCTGTTCTCGCTCTGTCGTCTTGACCGTGACAGAGATCTCCTCCTCGTCGATGCGACAAGCCGTCGTCTTGAAAGAATCTCGTTCGAGATCTTCCGCGTCATCATGTGGCTCGTCTGTCCTCTCGCATCCGGCGACCGAGAGGAGACAGTCGGAGGATCTTCGATCTGCGATCTTGCGAGTTGTTCTAGGAACTTTCAAAGAGTCGAAGTAACCGTAACGTCGCTCGTCGTCCTCGGATTCGGAATCACTTGAGTCCGCCCCGGCGATCCATCTGGATGATTCCCCGATCTCGTCCGTTAGATCGTACGAAGATTTCCGTCTGCGATCCGCATCCGAATTGCGAAACTTGTTCGAAACGAAGTCCTCGTAGGACGAAACACCGCGTTCCTTCTTGAGGTAGTTTGTCTGCAGATCCGCTGCCTCCGTCAAATTATTATCGTTGTCTTGATCGCGCGACGTCGACACTTCCACCGGTTGCAGTCCTACCGTAAAGACGACGCCCGATGTCGTCTTTTCGTCACTCGATCCCGTCTGCGCCGCGTCCGAGGACGATGAAAAGGATCTCCGGCGTGATATCTGATTGGCCGAATGCGTGGTCTCGCTCGTCTCGTCGATGGACGAGAGACTCGAGATCTTGGGTATTCTACGAAACTCTTCGGGGAACGCGTCGACGGATTGATGCTGCGGCCTCACGTAACCGTACGGATCCTCGCTGAAGCTGCCCGACGAAAGAATCGGTCGCGAGCCAGTCCTGCGAGTTCTCTGGGAGTTTCGATGCGCGGCCGAATAGATACTAATATAAATCCAACAAACACCGGCGAATGGAAGTAGATACGCGAATACACTGTGTACGACCGCATAAATGAGTCCGTAAGTGACAGAGTCGTTGGTCATGGTGCGGAAAATCATGGTGGAGTTTTCGAGGAGGCCGACGCTGCTGTCGATCTTGATCGACTCGATTGTTTTAAGCAACGTCGACGTCGCGCCGTCGATCTCCTCCTCCTCCTGCTCCTCGCTGGTCCCGTTGCCGAAGAACGCGAACGCGGATTCGATCGACGTCTCCGCCGTCGCGGTAACGTTTGACGCGAATACGTGTTCGCGGTAGGACGAACCGTTCAACGACGCCGCCGTCGTGCTGCAGGACAACCACAGGCTACGCGGACTCGGATTCAAAGCAGCGACCAAGCCGAAGGCCGTCGAGACTAGCCAGATGGAGACGATCAGCACGGCGGACTTGAGCTTGTCGACTCGGGCCCGGTAGCGCAGTGGGTCCACCACGGCGAAATACTGGTCAATGGCGATCAGCAGGACCGATAGCACTGACGACGTGGTGACGAGCGCGGTGGCACCTTCCGATATCGCGCAGATATTGCTGGCAGTCGATGCGGACGTCGACGTCGTCGGACCGAACGGCGACAGGACGTCGTCCGGCGTCGACGTCGACGTCGTCAACGTGTCTTCTACCGCCGGGCTGTCCAGCATCAGCAACGGGTTCAGCACAGCGCATGTCAGCAGATTCGAGACGGTTAGATTCATCACGAATCTGAAATTGAGACAAAACAGGCCGTCTTCAACATGGAATGTTGATAATGTCCGACACCTGTGCGATTGTCTTAAATTAGCGATCGATGATTAATTGAATGAAACACAATAGCTCATTGAAATACGAGGTGAGATCTTTTTACAAAAAACAAAGCAATGAGATGCAAGATGGAATAGGATAAGGAAAAATGAAGGGAGAATATTTTTAATTACTTTATTATTCCATTGAACACGTGTCAATTTGAAATTAGCACGACTTAATAATCGAAATGTAAATGTATTCGTTGTTAGAAAGCGACAAAAAGCCACAGAAGACATTGAAAGAAAAGAAAGCAAGATTTTATCGTCGTATTTTTCTGCTGCGCTTTCAATTACAAGCCACGTGTTATTTTTTAACAAACGCGAACGTCATCAGGAGAATAGTACCGAATCGCCCAATATTTTTTGCTCCTCGTGGATGGATTATGTTCGCCGTTTCTGTCAATATGACAAATTCGGCGCGAGAACATTTAAAGAACTCATGGTGTTCCGTTTCACTTGTTTGTGCTGTCAATAGATCGACAAACGAATTCCGTCAATACTGACGAAATAATGATCGATGGCGATCGCCTTTGATCTAAGTATAGTTCGCAAAATATCGTTCGCGTTATTTTGCAAAACGACGTCGGATGTCGCGCGATAATAAATGAATTTTCCTTTACACAGCGGAAAAACAAAATGTTACACACAGTTTCGAGTTGTACCGTTAACACGGCGACGAAATGCTCTGAAAATACGTCGGGTTTATTATTACATTTCGTTGCAGCGGTTGCCAAAGTTCGGTACTCGGCGAGTAATTGATTTCCTGGCTCAGCAGGTGGAAGTTCACGTAATAACAATGATAGATCTAGTCGTGTGCGCGACTCTATTAATATAGCTTACTAATATCAACTGCAAACGTTTGCTTTCGCAGAAAATTAGTTGAGTCTCGAGGCCCAATCGAGTTTCAATAAACGAGAACTGACACTACATTCGTCTCTCGACGCAGGAACATTATTTACGATCTCCGAGCATGATATAAGAGCGGCACATGACGCATTACATTGATTTACACAAAATTTTATTTGTACAGTAAACAAGAGTACATCACAGTCCGAACATGTCAGTCATCGTTACGCCTCGTGCACGCGCGGTTATTTTTACGTTGCCTGCAAATAGGCCTCGAGTCATTTGCGTGGCGGCTAAGTTTCCTATGAAAATTACACAGGAGAAAGATGCCTATACCTACCTCCGTCTTTCCGCATTACGTAGCGTCGCGTCGACGACGAAATCGCAAACTGAAATATTTAGACTGGCAGAGTCCCACGAGGAGCACGAGATTCGCGCGACTATAGAAACGACGCGACTTTGAAAAGCTATTTTATTTACGGGCACGATGGATAATACATCCGTCCATAGGTAGGAGGACCCACGAATGCGAGTGAAAATAATTTTCCTGCTGCATCGATATAGCGAGTCGATCTCGACGTTCTTGACGAAATTACATTTTAATACAACGCAAGATTCTAGGAATATCCTGCATACAATTTCCTGTTATTAAATTTTAGCCAATAAAAAATAATTCGAATCGTCCATGTGCTTTTATTTAATTTTAACACGTCCGCGGAGCAAGCCACGGATATAAATATCGGTCGCATGATGAATTTCTATTTATTTCGGTTCGCAGTATTACTGCGCTTCGCCGTTATTTCGTTTTATCGCGGCGTAAAGCCATAAAGTTTGGTCGATTATCGACTCGGGGGAAAAAAAAAATGCAAATGCCGTCACTATCGATGCGCACATGGGGGTTATTAACCTTGGCACGGAACGCAACAACGCGTGAAATAAACGCATAATGTATTATTTATCGCCGTGGCGTCTCAGTGAATATTACGCGAAAATATGGCGACGTCTAAATATATTATTTCCACCTCGTCGTCTCTCGCTCGGGCTGATTTTATTTCCGGTTTGGCGCGCGACGCCGCAAACGCCCGAGACTTAGCAACGCTCGCGTGTGTCCCTTGTATCCTTTACGACTCTCCGCTGTCCGCGAGAATGATTACGCTCGTCGTCGTATACGTCAACGCGAGCTGCGCGTTCGACGAATTTCAAAAACCGTCGCCCACGAGAATTGACGTCGCTCGCGTGACTGACGGGAGCGCTTATCGACGACAACATGGTGGCAATTTTGCAACGGCATTAACGTCAATGATATTACTTATCTATTATGCATTATCCCTTTCCTTGCCAAACAAGTAGTGCGCAGTATTACGCAGTATAATTCGGAGTTACTGGCGTTGGGCAACGAAATGTTTTGGAAAACAGAGAGATATGGTTACAAGATGTGTTAGATAAAAATCTCGAAGGATTATTAGAGCGACAGTGAAAGTCAATGACGATGTTTCTCTCCCCGAAATTGAGGGAGCGACTCCAAGCATTTTCAACGTAATCATACCCTTGCACAAAACAGTCGGTCCACCTACCTGTTAGAGATGGTGCGCAGTCCCGGTCTGACGAGAAACGCGAGCAGAAGAGTCGCGTTGAGGAGAAAGCAGCCGAAGAGCACGAAGCTCCAAGCCGCGATCCCCGGATTGTACCACCATCCTTCCAGATTTCCCAGGTCCGCAACCGATCCTCCTCCAATTCCCGTCGCAGCTCCATCCATTCATAAATAATGAGTGTATTACGGGGCCTGAAACAGAACGCAATATCGTTTTCGTTATTTTCGTTATAATACAACGGCTCTCCGATATCTAGCTCTAATATCGAAATCAAAATTGCAAATCTCTCAATTAATTTAGCGTTAAATTAATTTCATAATATTGGAATATCGAGGCAATCGCGAGTTAAAGAAATTAAATTTACTCTCAGAGTGCCTTGAGCAAATTCTAAGAAAGTTGCGTTAGATCGTATCGCGCGATAAATTCCCCGAATTTTACGATCCAGTTTGTTTCTCGCTGTAGAATTTTCCTACTGCAAAATTATACGTTCTCCCGAAACGGGTCAATTTCGTGCGGCGTCGCGAGGAAATGGCGCGACAACGACGACGCCCTGCAGGAGTTTCCGTCGACATGTATTTTTAGACGGATTTCCCCGTACGCACGTGCTGCAAAAATATCCGCGTGTGGACACGCAACACGCGTGTCCACACGCCCAATTGCACGCGCGCGAACGAGATTGATCGAGATCGCACGGAAATCTTGAGAAAGAGACGAGAACACGTGACGGGAAAACGTGCCTTTTGTGCTGCTCCACGTATATACGCAAGAAATTGGTGCCCGCGTGCGGACATTGTTGTACCCGCATATATAAATAACTAATCCAAACAAATACAAATACACTCGATTTAAATAATAAAAGAGACGATCTCCGCAGTTCGGAGACCGAGGTTAATGTAATGAAGATGTCTTCTGAATATAGCGTGGTACATGTTTCTTAGCTATCTTTGTCTCTTTCTCTCCCTTTTCTCGCACTTAAAGTTAAGTTTTCTTTGCGGATAATAAAAACAAGTCGATCTAAAAAGATCAATGGACGGTACACGTCACGTGAATGACAACTTTTAACGAGGGAAAAATACGCTTTTGTTCGCCGTGGCACCCGAGGCGCGCAAACATAAAGCGCGAAGATATGTAACGCGTTTCGAAAATAACGTGACTTCTCTCTTTCTCTTCTTTATCCGGTTGACGTCAACTAATGTTTTTCGAATAATATTATCGCTATCCGGCCGATCGTCTTTTTTTGTATCGCTGTTACTTAAATGATCTTATACCGCGATTAAGTCAATAATCTTTATTGATTTCATCTTTATTTTATCATGCGCATCTTTCCACTTATCATTCGACTTGCGCGAAGTGTTCGTCGCTTTTGAAGTGGCCTGTTTAGACACCGCGGCGAGATTTTTAATACGATATACCGTCAAGATAATCATTTACAAATATCACATAAATCCTAAATTTCCTTGGTACTTGTAGCACGACTGTAATCACGAGTATCACGACAAGAATTACTTAATTAGATGAAGATCTTTCATTTAGACTTTATACCGCCTGTTTAAGATAGCCAATATTTAACGTCGTAAACCATAGTGTTGAGCGACAATGACCTAAATTCCGTCAGTATCGTAATCTGTAAAACGCATGCCGAGATTTACTTGGACTTGACCTGGAGAAATAGTTAGTTTTGCGATACAGTCCTGATTTGGCTACACACATATATTCTTTTGTCACGAATATATAAACAACAAAAATGGAGACAGAAAAGTTTATAACAGTCTGTGTATGATATAAAATAGGATTCTAAATTCACACACAATTCTTTTCTGTAACGAAGAATAATGGGAAGAGAGGAAAGCCAGAAGTGGTACCTATCATTCCAGCGTGCAGCGATCGACCTTACGCTCGACTGCTGCAAAATCTGGCAGCAGTTCAAGACTCGCAGCCGTTAAGAGAACGAATGAGAGAAGGAGAGAGAGAGAGAGAGAGAGACAGAGTGGCAGAGAACATCTCGAAGGCATCAATCTACGACGATCCGCACGTACAGACAGCCGTTTATTTCCGTTTAGCGAAACTCTCTCACGAAAAATGAATCGCTCAGAAATCCGATCGCGCAACATGAATCTAGCCAACAGTCGACCGATCCATTACCTTGGTTGTTCCTCTCCGAAATCGCATTATCGCGCGATCCGCTCGTGTCACGATCTCGCGTTCGCGACGACGCGAACGTGCCAATGGAAACAAACAGAAACCTCCCGCGATTTTATGGAGCGAGTGATAACAACGGTTGAGCCGGGGGAAGACCATTTCGTATATATGACACCCGTTCTTGTTGCGCAATAAATGCGCAATCCCGTCTTTAACTCGCTCTTATTCCGCGGTATCTCTCGGGCTTGTCTTCGCGACACGTGAGGGGAATGTCATTTCGAGTGTACTTTTTATAACCAGTGCCGAGTATTACGAGCGATATGTGTTTCGCAGTAAAAATTGTAGGTCTCATAAATGTGAGATATTGCGAGAAGGCTGGAAAATAAAAGTCACACTTTTCACGATAGATTTTCGACGTAACATACTATTGTAATATTATTAACGTCTTCTCATCTTCAAATTGTTTTAATAATTTATTCTATAATTTCTAATTATAAAAATAAGAATTTTGTGCTCTATATTATAGTTTGTCTTTTCTTAACATTTAAATTATTGCATTAAAGCTAATAACAAAGTTTCCCCTCAACTACTAGTCTTTTTCATTCAGACTTTACGTTGATTTGATGCAGTTCTAAAATCGCATACGCATTATGTACACCAATCAGCCCGTTTATATTCCACTTAGTATTCAACCGGAAGACAAACTTACAGTTGCCGATGTACGGTTCATCAACGATTCGGCGTCAGGCTCTTGAGCCTTGCGCGCTATAAAAGGCTCCGACACGCGTGCCCGATTATGCGAATTTCGCTGCGTAATGCACGGCGTCTTGTAACGGCGCTATTTTCGCGCGCATGACTCGATAACGCGCGAAATCGCTTCCGCGCGAACGACCGCGCGCGACAACGTCTGCTATTGTGTGTGTATTCCCGCCAGGAATAGCGTGCAAAAATCTAAACAGAGTCGCGAGTCCGCTCATTATCCGCCCGCCGATTGCGCACGGCGCGATAACAGGACCGCTGCCGTCGCCGCCGCCACGTCGCGCCGCGCCGCGCCGGCAGTAGCGAATCCGAAGCAGATGTCATTGTCATTCGGAGTAAAGCGTGCCGCTCACGTGAGTGGAGCCGACGTGGACCGCGATATGTCGGCCCGCGCGATGCGGGTACGCGGAAATGTACGTATCGGGGAAATTGGCGACGTTGGCGTGTATACGCCTCCGCGGCGGCATCGATAATGCGCCGATTCCGCGTTTTCGACGCCGCGCGTCACAACAGAGACGACTCCAGGCAAAATCTTCCACGAGCCGCTCGAGAGAGTTTATCGCTCGTACAATAAGAACGGTACAATAATACAAAACGCAACATCGAACGAACGTTTCGAAAGCTGCTCCTCGTATTTTTACGCGATCAGGTTTCGCCATGAAAGTGTCTCGCAGACACGATCTCGGCGAAGCGCGAGGCTGCGACCTGGAGGGACACAATTTATCAGGCGCGAAGACAAGTATCTCGAAAATCTCTAACGCTTCCGAAGGTCGTTCGAAATTGGGTTAACTAAATTGGATGGAGGGTCGATAACTCACCGGAGATATGTGAAACTTAGTTGACGGTGATCTCGACGATACAAGGGCGTAACATGGCGTCCTATTCCCTTCGTACCAGCTCTCCTCCGTGCTCCATTCTCAAAGACCTTGAAGATAAAATAGACACGAGAAGTATTATTCTGACTGTTCTTTCATCTTCCGATAAACAGTATTTCTCAAGCATTCCTTATCGTCTATCGCGACCACGCAACGCCGGAACAGCCGCGAGATGCAACTTGAAATAGATTTTGCGTAAGAATCTTTTACAATTGACAATACGAAGAAGCATCTCATTTTGAAAATATATATACCCATGTAAGACGGAACGAAAAAAATTCAAGGCTTTTCCGCGATGTCCTCCGTTTTTAAAGCAAATAAAAAAATATGTTTCAACATCGAAGAATGAAAGAGAGAGAGAGAAAAAAAGGAGTAAATAATGTTTAAATTACGTCAGAAATGAAATTGTGCAATCTATTTCGCATCTTAATCTCGGTGTCACACGCCCTCTTCGAGAATAATAATCGAATCTGTTTTCTCAATGACGATAAGTCAGCAGATGAATCCGCGAATCGAACAGGCGCAGTCATAGTGATAAGCGATATTCCGTCGCATTACCGTGAGGCTAAGTCGTTCGTCGATGTTTTTTCTGGGATCTCTAGACGACGACGCCTTGCATCTTATTTTACCCGCGATCGATTATTGTAAGGTTTAATTAATACCGGAAATCCTATATTATCGCGTCATGATCGTACGTAACGTAATTCCCTGTCGCTCAAAATCAAATTTCCGCGCGAGAGGAAAATTGATCAGGATGACAAACACTCGGGAAAATTGGCGTAGCGCTAGAGAATTTCGCGTTCGAGCAGCAGATCGAAATTGAAACTTCGATTAATAATAAATACTGACTTCAAATAAAACTTGAGACACGGTAGAATGCGTATACAGTGAGATATCAATACACACGCATTACCTCGCTCTTCAAACCGGAAGGTACAACTCGTTTAAAAAAAAAAAAAAACAAACTCCACGCAAAAAAATCGCGATTTCGTGAAAATAAACCCGAGCTCCCGTCAATTCGCGTGGCTTCTTTATTGCTTGGATTTATGAAATCTTTTACTCACCCCACGTCGCATAAATCAAAATCCATTCGTAAACAGGATTGAAACGGCGCTCGTTTTCGTATGAGATTTTCAAAAAACTGATAATAAAATAAAAGAAATGGAGACGAATTATCCGCGATCGCGAAAGTCATTCGCTTCAATTGACAAAAGTGAAATTCACTCGTGAGGAGAATTGCCGGCGCGAGAAGTTGTCAAACGTAAGAAGAAGACGGCCGAAAGTGGCAAGTGTCTCGGACGTCTCGCAAGAACCAACTGGCACCATGAGCAAACAACGTGGTACTGGAGGGACCCCGCCATTGACGAAATGTTTAAAATCACTTTAGGGATCAAGAAAGCAGGAAGGGGTGGGGGTGCCTATATTTAGCGCTAATGTTAGTACATCGCGAGTGTCGTATGATTGCCCGCGAGCCAATGTTATATCTTATCGACCTCGGATAAAGTGTCGCCGGTCTTATTGCAACGCAATCTCGCGAGATTACGCCTTGCGCGATTATCTAGCCGAGGGACGCGCGAGAGAGCATTAGCATACCAGAACAGCATGCAGACAGGTGTGGAAAGTGCGCGCGTGGCGAGCGAGAGACGTTAAGATCTGCAATGTATATAAAAGTGTCCTTAATCCTTGCCACAGCCGCGGATGAGGCTCGTAAAGTGTCACCGAGCGTATATTCGAGTCGCCGATGCAGATGCGTTTTCGCGTCGCCATTTTTTGCACCGTTATCGCGGCATCGGCGATTGCATTTTACATTAATGAAACAGCGAGCGCGAGAAGATTGACGTCTCTGGATTTCTTATTTTCAAGTCATCTCTTTACAACTTAATTGGCGCGCGTGCGCGCTCGTATAATTAAAATAATTTATTGTTATGTCGTTCTGTCATCTCGCCACACTTTCATATTACCTCGAGGGGAGAAAAAATATTTATGATGTATCGTAGACGTGTATAGTTATTCGACGGAATTCCCCAATATTGTATCACCGCCTTCGACCATGTCGCCTCGATAACGAAAAAAACACGGTCTCCCGTACCTCGACACGGCTGTGAGAATGCGTGGGCGCGCAAGCCGGAATGTCGCCGAATACAGCATCATTTCCTGGTTGGACGGATGCGAAAGATGTTCCAAATTCCTTGGCGTTTACCGGTTTTCACTCCGCTACATGTGTTCTTTTTTCTACGGAGTCGCGTGCGGACGATATTACGCTCACTATAAATCCGAAATATGCACTCTTCAGAGAATTAACAAGTTTTTTCTTTGTCGGATATATGAATAATTTTAACATAAATTGCCGTGACTAATAATGAATATTTTTGCCGACCATCTCTGTTGTGTGAATGTCAGCAAAATATTCGCAGCTGATATACTATTACTGCTGACGACAGACACCGTAAAAGTGTATCTTTATACTATAACATGACACTGCTTGTTTCTAACTCGCGTTTATCTTTGTTCCCAAGTCTCTTGCCATTTTTAATGTCGATAAGTATAACATCCGACGCGATAATTGTGTAAATAACGCGATGCTGCAGCAAATTGTCCGAAAAAAACTTCGCATTAAATAAACATTTACTATACCGTCGATTATCCCATTAAGATAATTATACATTATAGAAATGATATAGCCTTTTTATCTTATTCCGCGGGTAAGGTCACGATATACGTGTCACTCGGTATGATACATCTTACAAAGTCCAAATTAGCGTACGTGTAATAACGACCTATCTATTTCAATGCACGATTGCTACGGAATACATTAGATTTATCGCAGTTTCTATTTTTCCTATACACATTAATAAATCTAGAATCGGCATTACCCTAAGAAAATTCGTTACAAATTTCTATTTTAAAAGTCTCGACGAGTAAGGACTTTTCGTCTTTCCTCGGTGATGGCAACTTAACGGTATCGTTGAGATGTCGAGAAAGCGCGATAATTCTGACACTCACCAGCAAGTCTCCGGCAAACAAAGAAAGTTAAATAGGAACGAGCTACTTTAAATATCCGCTTCGAACATTTTAGCCGTCAAATCTGGAATTCTAGGCCTTTCCTCGGTAAAGGAAATGTAAGTAAACGATATATTTATCGAGAAAGCGTATTAATTTTGAGAACGCTTACTAGACTGCGAACAAAGAGAACTATGTAGGAACGAGCGCAGCGGGCGGTCCTATATGCGGGCTTTCGGCATCGCTTCTGACATCACTGAAACTTCTCTCGCCCTCGTGCCCGAAACGCTTGCTTCCGAAACAACGCAGCTCGGAAACCGCGATGTCCGCTACTCAACGAGTAACGAAGTTTTACAGTTCTGCTATAATAAGCAAATCTTCCATAGGAAACTTACCGCTCACTCTAACTCTTTTTATTCTTTGTAATCGCACAACTTTATACCTAACAAGCGTATCACTTTACTTTAATGGGCGTATCAAAATCAGACTACTTTAAAAACAACTAACTGATATATTACAATAAACGGGCATAAATACTGTATTGCGACATCGCATGATAAAGAGTGACGCAACGACTTCCTCGAATTCACCATATTTTATATTGCGTCGGCGATGTCAAGAAATTTCAGGAAAAAATGAATACTAAGCAAGTATGGAGCGGACGTTGAACCATCCCAAAGAGTCGTCCGAGAATCGGTGACTTTGGCGGATACGCGCAGCAATTTTCTCCGAACAGACGCACTCCGTTTTTTTTCTTTTTTTTTCATGAGACCTGTCATGTTTCCTGAACGAGAGAAAAAGATAATTTCTGTGTCTCGCTATAACCATTCGGCCATTGCAAGCGGCGGAACTTTATGACGCGATTCCCTCGCGGTGAAAAATTAAATCTTTCCGTTACGCGAATAGCTTTTTCCTTCGAGCTTTCGATGCTCGCGCATCCTGGCGTTTCGCAACGCCGCGGTCTTGTGCGCCTCGAATCTCTCAATTAGCGAATTCCACGGACGGATATCGGCGGACGGGAGCGTCGTTTCATAGGCTTGTTAGCACCTTGGGCGCTGGCTCGCAGCCACTCGCGCGTAACTTGTGTTGCAACTCGCCACCGGTCACCGCTACGTCCATCGAATCGAATAATACCAAAGATCGGCTCGAAAGAGAGAGAGAGAGAGAGAGAGAGAGAGAGAGAGAGAGAGAGAGAGAGGAGAGGAGGAGAGAGAGAAAGAAAGAGAAAGAGGGAACAAAGTACAGAGTACGATTTTAAGACAGAATAAATTGGAATAATTTGCGGACGATTTAAAGGCCACTTCAATATTTTTACAATATTAATGGCGGCAATTAATATCTGACACCAGGATACGCGACGGATTTAATACACCTCGGCCTTGCGCACGCCGCAAATTTCAGCCGCATTTCCCCCGCGCGTGTTCTCCCCTCTTTATATCTTATTTTTATATTCCATTGTCAGCTTGCACGGCTACCGCTTATCCTTTAGCCGTGCCATGTCAGTGCCGACACCAAGGTCGATACTTTTTAGTTTGGTACGCCAGTCAACGGATCGCTGATCTTGAAATATCGTCCCGACGCGCCCGCCTACGTCACAGATTTTAACGCCTTAAAATTTCATCGTGGCGAAATGCACGGACCGTTATTAATATAAGCGAGCACCCGCTCCGCGCTCGAGCGGGCGCGCGCGAGTGGAATAATTATGCGTCGGATCGCACGTAAACGCAACGACTCGGCGCGGCGGCTCGCTTCGACCAAGTTCATCGCGGTGAACAAAGGTATTTTGTTCGAGCGAAAAAGCGCGACAAAATCGATCGAACGAAATCGATCCGACGCGCGAGCTCGAATCGCCTTAATTGCTTCGTGCGCGCTGATCGCGATCTCTGGTGTATCAACTTTTTAAGTGGCGAAGGATATGTGTAAACCGTCCCACGTCAATTTCCCCGCTAAATCGCAATGACACGTATATGTATAGAATGCGCGGTATCGCGCACAAAGATCAGTTATACTGCAAATCAAGGCTGTGCACGTAGAAAAATCGTGGATCAGC